TTACGGTAACTTATTTCTTTATGTCTCTCTCCCCTCTGGGCATGGCTTGCCTACTTCATTTCTGTGTTTCTAGCACCCAGGAGAGTGAACCTGGCACACTGAATTTTTAAATAGAACAATTCATTTTTTCTCTTTTCTCTCTCTTACACCTTTCCAACATACTAAACTGATTAGCCACAAAATAAAGAAGTTTCTGAGTTTACCATTCAGTTCTAAGTGAATAAAGAAAAGCTGCCCTCAAGATTTTTAGGAACTATCCACATGGTTAGGGGGCAACTTGTCCATTATTCTACGTATCATTTTAAAACTCCTACAATTTTAGTAGGAGCTTTCATTGTAATTCTAGCAATAACAAAACACTGATTTGTCAAGCTGGATAATCTCTTTGCTTGTGCCTTCACTTTCTTGCAATTTAAATCTGATTTGGCAAGAGAAGAAATAGCTAAGGAATAACTTACTATTAGTCTCTGAATCTAACAAGACCTCAACAGCTATCCTCTATTTTCAAGACATTAACTGAAATTTAAAGCTTTATAAAAAAAGAACTTGTTGCCCAGCATAAGAAACGGATCACCAAGGTCAGCATTATGTTTTACCACCCAGAAAACTTTGATACCTCACATTACATCCTATAAAGTTAATTAAGGCTTTTAAGAATTACAATTAAACTTAGTAGAAATGGAAGGAAAGAGTGAAAAAAAGTTAACTTGGATTACAGCACTGGTTTTTCTATTCACAATTTACTTGAGTCTAATTCTGTCATTCTTTTCCCTAAGAGATAATTATCTTAATTTTTATTACAGTATGTTCAACAGATATATACCCACAAGACTTATATAAAAATATCAGTAAAATGGTAATTAGAAAATCAGAAATTATTTTTAAAAATCTCTACTTTGTGGACACCTCCTTTTTCATCTATCCCTCACTTGATTATATGAGTATAACTTCCTTCATTTTTGGTCAAATGAAGGATTTATCTTTTTTTTTTTAATCTTCATATTACATCCTTCATAAAACTGTTATTAGAGTTTTAATACATTATTACTTTGAACTTATGTTGCCAATAACAGAGATTTATTTATATAAACTTTAGTCTTAAAAAAGTACAACTCTACACATTTATATTTGGCTTGCTGTATGAAATATAGAGGAAGAAAACACTTCGAATACACTTGAGAAAACTTGAGAAAAATCTACCAATACAACCTATTAATGTATATCCCCCAGATATTAAAAGGTTCATGAAACTGTAAAGATAAGTTTTTATTTATATGGCATTATTGATGAATATACCATTCAACATTAGTGGATTTCTAAACAACTAGAAATTATCTGAAGTATACAAATCTGAGAAAAGGTAACCATTTTTAATGAAATGCACTGTGAAATGTATTGACCCATTTACCTGAGTCTCATAAACAGAGTATGCTGAATAGAGTTTAAGCAATTTACAATAAATGAAATTCATCATGCCAGGCAGGAATTATAACACTGTTGCTCCATGACGTCCTCAAGGGTGTGTGCCTTTGCAGGCACACGGGTGCAGTCACCCATTACAATACGCCTTTGCCTTTTTCATCCCCATAACTTATGGGTTTTAATAGTTTTCCTTATAACAACATCTCCCCTTTAGCAGTTTTCAATCTTTTAATCTGTTGTAACACATGATTAAACTTTATTTAAAGATACTGTTAACACTTTGTGGGTGACAACTAAAGATATCACAAAGTATTAACAATTTTCTTTTCAATTTTATCCAGTTCTGAGGTTTGAAAAAATATATGCTTATTTTGAGGTGTCTGGCTATACTCTAAATTACTGGTGCTACAAAAAGTTTAATCATTGGAAAAGTGTAGCTTTGCTAGAGTACGGTAGAGTCCATAGTTCCAAGGAGTTAGGTATTCTTTATCTTTTACATGGAAAAACAACAGTATTCTACATTAGCCAATGACAGTGATTCTTGACCAAAATTTCCCAGATAATCAGTGCAACAGTTCACAAGCTGAAACTGTCATAAAGTCAGTTCTCAGTTATTAATGACTGTTCATGATATATTTTTATGCATTTATTTTCCTGAACTACCTTTGCAATCCCACTCTACTACCTTCCATTCCCCATCCCCTCCTTTCCCACTCCTGGTGGGCATTTGGGAAATATCCATTTAATTTAATACTGATATAAAGGAACCTTATTTAAGACTATTCTAAGGTAAATCTCTATATCAGTTATATAAAGATTGAAGTAATTTTTTCAGTTGTCTGCATACTGAAACTCAAAATATTTCATTATGTCTTAAAAATTCAACACGGACAATTTAAGAAGCAACTGATTATCTGGAGGGCTATGCTAACAAGGGAATATACCTACATATAACTGCATAGAATATTATATTATCACTGAAAAGGGCCTTAAGATCACACACAGTTTATATCCTTTAACTATACACAAAAAGAATTTTATTGACTTGTTCAAGGTCATACTGCTAGTTAGTGGACAAGCCAGAAGTAGCATCAAGTTTTCCTGGTTAAAATTGTTTGGTCAGGGCCGGCCCGGTGGCACACTGGAGAGTGCGCTGCTTGGGAGTGTGGCGGCGCTCCCGCCGAGGGTTCGGATCCCATGTGGAGACCAGTTCCCACTCACTGGCTGAGTGCAGTGCGGGCGCAACACCGAGGGTTGCGATCCCGTTGCCGGTCCCCGGTATGGGCGCGACACCGAGGGTTGCGATCCCGTTACCGGTCCCCAGTACGGGCGCGACACCGAGGGTTGCGATACTGTTACCGGTCAGTAAAAAAGACAAAAAGGAAAAAAAAAACTGTTTGGTCAACTATATATTACTAACTTTTTTTTTATTTTTTAAGATTTCCTTTTTTATTTTTAATTGTGGTAAAATACTCCTAACAAAATCTACCATCTTAGCACTACAAACCATCAGAGCAGCAAAGAACACATCATCACCACGCAGATAATAAATTCAAACATTCCTTTTTAGACAGGAGATGTGGTGTTTGGCACAACAGCTCCCTGGAGAAAAATTCCTTTTTCTTCCCACATATAGTGCCGTCCACTACTTAGGCTCATTTAGGAGAAAAGCCAGGTATGCTATTCTATTTCACTAGTTTTAAATCCTTATTAAATCTCTCCCAAACCAAGTAAGACACACCTGTGAAAATGAATGATATTATATTACATGATGACACACCACCCAGCAACCACAGGCATCATCACCAATTAAAACGTTTCCCTTAATAAGAACAAGTCTTACTGTTTTATAAATACTTGCTGGTGGCATCATTTCAACGGCAAAAGGTTTTCTTCGTTCTAACCTTCTCTTCCTTTCACCATGGTTCAAGCACCCACTAAAATCTACCACTATATATAGATGTAAAGAGATTCACTCTGCAATGTCCTGTTTCTTTACTGTTTCAGATAATGTTACCAATTATGACTCACTTTCTCCCACCCACTTCCTTATTTAAACTTTCCCTGCTTGAGAGTCAGTATTTATAATTAATTCACTAACTGGAAGAAAATAAACCATTAGCTCTCTATGTATTGGGGATTTTTTTCAGGGTCAGTGAAAATTGTACCATAAAGTTGATTTCACTTCAATTGAAGTTCTAAATACATCCATCAATCACTTTTACTCTAATATTTTAGTATCAGAACTTTTGAATATTCATGTTAATGACAATTAAGGCATAGCATCATAATAAATCTTAAATAGATTTAAAGCTTGAATCTGTCATTTACGAATTTTCCTATAATTGTCAAAAAATCAATGCTCAGTTCACTCACATAGTTATTTATAATCAATAAGAGAAACTAAACAATGGAAACTATTTTCTTGTCTTCAGAGGTGTAAATGACTGTCGAACACTAGGGAAATTTATGATGATGTTTTTACTGCACTTTTGATCCAAGAAATTCCAAGTACTTGTGAAAGCCATATTTATTAATATTTCCAAAGCACTACACTGATATGAATAAAGAACAAAAATGCAATGGCCTTGTTATAGAAATTACATAAAAATTTCTGCTGTAGCACAGGTAAATTATGAATGTATTTCACCAGCAAATCATTTCTTTGTTAGCTAAGATTTGGCACGTGGGCAGATACACCACCCAGGTGGTTCATCGAAGTACTTCCCTCTTTAAAGGATCTGAACTTCCACAGTCTCACTACTCTCTAGTGTATTACCCATGGCTGCTACATTCATGGACATTTCCCGCATTAGCTATTTAAGTTTGTGACTTCTTGTATCAGGGACACAACACTGGCCTGGGAGTCACAGCACAAGGAATCTGGGCTATTATTATTGATTACCAACAGCAACGTGACCTTGGAAAATCCCTTAAGGTTTCTGTGACTGTTTTTTCTTCTATAAATGAATTGCTGAACTAAGACAACTTTTAAGTGACCCTCTAACTCTAAGATTAAGCCATTTATTATAAAATTGGGTACTAAGTAGAAAACATTAAAAAATTAGAAGCCTAGAAAGTGCTGTAACATAATCTGTTGAATAATTTATGAATTATTTAGGTCCTTAAAAGTGACATCGGCTAGTGGTAAGTTCATCTTCCAGGACTACTACTTTTTAAAAAAAAAAATAGATTAGAAACTTCTGAAAAACAAAGATTATACAATTTTCTCTTGCTCAGCCCATAAACATTAGGGATGCAGCATTCACATAAGAGCAACAAAGAACATTTTCTTCCTTTGTAAAAAGAACATGTTTGTGGTTTTCTTATATAAAGTGTCCACGAAATCAAATAGAACAGAAATTCTCAACTGAAACTACATGATATAAGCTACACAAAAAGAAATAGTTCTTCAGAGTAGGGGAAACACCCATCATCAGTCAGAGCTTGAAATCATTAAACTGCTGGTGTGGGTGATCTGACTCATTCATTTCGCATGTGCTATCAAATAAAGAGTTTTAAAACAGCGGTAGAAGAGGTGGTGTTTCCCCCACTTACGAGCTGGTCTCACACTCTACCTTCATCTCCTGGTGGTGGTCCAGCTGTTCCACTTCCAGAGGGCTTTCTCCACCTTCCCCCTCTTGTACCTTGGCTTCTGCTTCTGCCCCTCCTTCTAGGGGGAGCACGGGGCCTGTACTTGGGGTCCTGCTGCTACTGTCGGAAGCGCTTCCATCGCAGTCATTTGCTGTGGGTGATGCAGGACGTGCAGTGGTTTCATCTCTTTCTCCGTTCACTAAGTGCGTATCAAGCAAGAGTTCAGAAGCTCGAATACGAGTATATGGGCTAAGAGGGGCCGCTTTATCCTCCTCACATTCCATCTGGTTTTGTGCTGCCATCAGACCATTGGCCACACACGTCTGTACACCCTGAGTCTGATCTGTATCATTTCCCTGCTTCCACGGTGGGTGCTGCGAGAGGAGTTTGTGTTGAGGTGTGGTTGTCAATCCGTGCCTTCCTGGGGTTCGAGGAGCATTTAGGTTCACAGCAGAATCTTTCTTCAAATCACCATAATTTGATAATGCACTAAAAGACAAAATGGAAAGGAAGAATGAGAACACTGGCATGGAAAAGTTCTAGAATAAAGTCAAGTTTATTCCAGTTGAAAAGGGATCTCCAGTGAAGATATTTTTTTTCTGTCTCTGATGGTTTTAGAAACATGGATTCGAATACTACAGTGTAGTTCCCAGTCTCTTGGGAGGCTACTATCCACATTTACCTAAAGATGATGAGCCTGAGCTTTACCTATAGGGTCTGGAACATTTCCTTCGGCTGTTTAATAACATGACTAGTGAGTAAAGACTTAGATGTAATAAACATTGATATTTAATAAAATCTTTTCCTAAGATTTTTAACTTTTTTGACATCTTAAAAACAAATATAGCCAGCCCTCAATTTGTGAACAGGTTATAAACCAAAATGTTATTTTTATGTGGAAAGCAGAACACACATTCTCAAAAACTGTATTAACCATGCTGCAACAGCCTTCTAACTGGTCTTTTACTCTTCCTCCCCTTCAGTCTAGTTTCTACAGGTCAGCCGAGAGATCAAAACTCTGATGGCTCCTCACACACTTCAGGGTAAATGCCGACCTGACAACAGCCTGTGAGATTCCACGCCCTCCAGCCCCACAGCCCCTGGCCTCGGTGTATTCCACCCCCTCACTCGCTGTGCTCTCGTCACACTCCTTGACGTTCCCCATTCCCAATAACTCAACGTATGCAACTTCGGGTCTTTGCAGCTGCTGTTCTCTGCCTAGGACAATCTTCCCCAAGATGTAGGTGGCTTGCTCCTTTTCATCGCTCAGGTTTCTGCTCAGACTTCCCTCTCCAGAGAGGCTTTCCTGGATTAGCCTATCTATAACAGCACGCTCCATCACTAAGCCACATCTTACTTTTTTTTTTTTTGTCTTTTGTCTTTTTCCGTTTCCGGCAACGGATTGCAACCCTCAGTGTTGCTCCCGCGCCTCGCTCAGCCAGTGAGCGGGAACCGGTCTGTATGTGGGATCCGAACCCTCGGGCGGGAGCGCTGCCGCGCTTCCCAAGCGGCGCACTTATCCAGTGCGCCACCGGGCCGGCCCTTACTTTATTTTTCTTTAAAGCTCTTATTATTTGACTTTATATGTAGCTCTAAGAGTACTATTAGGACAATGGAACATTACTCCTAATATATAACAATGTTCCTATAGAATATTTGAATAGCATTTTAATTTAGGATGGGGGGGCACAAAATTCTGGGCTACAGTCTAATAAATTCCCATGACCTAAATGAGGAAAATAAATAAATATAGGCTAAAACACTGTGAGGGGGCAGATGGTGCTGTCTCATTCTCTGCTTTATTTCTACCTTGTAGCACAGTGCTTCATACATAGAAAGTGCTCAATAAATATTCAAAGAACTACGAATAACTGTGATAATGATGATAATTTTGACAGTTATACAATAATAGCAGGTAACATTTATTAAGTGCTTAATAAGCACCACAAACCACACTAAGCCCTTTATGTTGATTATGTTGTTTTCATCTCATAATAACTCCCAAAACAGTGACCCCATAAATAGAGAAATGTAGGCTTAGAAAATCACATATTGTGGCCAATGTCACATGGCTAACAAGTGGTAAAGCCAGAATTCAACCCATGAAGTTCAAATCTAAATTCCATGCAACAATACGCTAGAACATGACAGATGGATGTGCAACAGGTGAACAGGCTGCAGGTAAAATGTGGGAACAAAGTCCAGGGCTGCTTCTCTTCCCCTGCATGGGTAGAGAGGAGGCAGGTAGAGGGAGGTGGGGGAGGACACAGCAGCAAGTCCCATGACAGTGCTGACATGTGTGTTGCCTTCTCTTTTCACTCCCCCCCTCCCAGATCTGGACTGGAGAGAGGAAACAGGGAATAACAATAGATAGCAAGAAACCAGTAAGGGAGAGAAACAGATATAAATAAAATCCAGCACCACAGGAAGGGAAGGAGAAATTAGTAGGGCAAAATGTCACATACGTAAAAGTTGGAGGTGATCGATATAAATAAACGTGACATACTCCAACATTGATATTTGCCTTCTAGAACCGTTTATCTTTGGCCTACACTATTTCCCAAGCAGTCCTTGGAGATTTGAATCAAACTGTCCACATCAGTGTCTGGTAACCTGGTGGAAAGATCCTCAACAGATCCTCTGAACAAAACCCAGGCATGCTCGGGACTTTTCTAAAGGATGACTTTGGATGAGAGCTGGAAATTTCCCATAATAAGTGACATCAATGGTATATGAGGGGTTGGGATAAGGTGGGAATGGGTTAGTAAAAGCAATAGCTGAACCAGGCCTTAGAAGATTCCTGCCTCTTTGTGGATGCCAAACCATGGGGACGATAGCTGGCCTTGCGGTAACCTAGGAAAACCAATGTTGAGGTCTGTAGGAAAACATTAGTTATTCCTAAAATCCTAAAGTCTTTCATAGGTTAAAAACAGTACTACTCCCTCTTACTCTGAAAGAGGAAGAAAAAGAAAGAGAAAGAGAAAATAAAGGAAACCACAGTAAATAAATAAATAAAATCTACTTGATCCAAATCACTCATCTTAACAAAACGGTTACTTGGATTATTGCCCAGAGCAAAACTATGACAGGAAGGTCTTAATAGCAGTGTGATATGGCCCTCTACGACCATCCTGACCAGACTACACTCTAACAGATGTTGGTTCTTCCTGCCAATTTCCTGTGGAGACTCAGAGCCTGGTGATCTCCCTCTATTCCATGAAGTACTAGTTTAAGCTGTGATGACCAGGGTTAAAACCAAAAACCAATCTGCAGGCACATGGACATCACTCAACAATAAATACAAATTTCCCTCTGAAGACCTATAGACCCTGTGCAATATTAATCCATTCAGACACTTCTATGGCCAGTTTGTACTAGTAATACCTCACTGAGAACATATCATTTTTTGTATTGGCAGTGGACTCTGCCACCACGGCTCTTTACCAAACTTGTCAAAACACTTACATTACACCCTACCTGCACTCAGAACAAACTTGCTTAAAATGTCATAAATAAATTACAGCACATCTCTCCTTAGATCAAAACTTCAAGCTTTGCATCAAAAGTGATTATGAATTTATGAAGCTTGAAAGAGTAAAAGAAAATTGATATTATTAAGTGGAAAAACTACAAACTTTTCACATGCAGAGAGGAATCCAAAATAGTTCAAAGAGTGTGTTACCAAAATGGTGAGGATTAGAGGACTCAATCTTTGGAATACTGACCCATTCAGGGCTTCACAAAGCCACCCCTGAAACCTAGGATGCAGACTCTGGCATGCACTATGACAGGGCTCAGGGCTCCAGCCACTCCTTATATTATGTGATCACTAGGCATGGTCTGTGGAATCTGCAAACAGGAGGGGTCACTCTGTTGTCATTGAATCAACTTACTCTGAGGAGCAAAAAATGTCTTAAATGAAATTATTCTAGTAGAGATCACTGAAATTTAAGACAGCAAATGTATTATAAACCCTACTCAGATGGGGAAAGGGGGACTGAAGTTCCCACAATTGATCATTAATGAAAAATAAAGGAAGGCTTCTAAATTACATTTCTCCAGAACTTGTAACTAAACACAGTACCATTTTAAATGAGGGACACTTTGGTTTTGTGCTTGATCATAATTTCCGGAAGATTCTAAAAGTATTCCCATGCTATGATTTTACTGCATAAATAACTATGAATCCTGCAAATAAGTAACAAAATCATCTAATGGGGAACCATTCCCAAATATTACACTGGAATGAATGAAAATATGTAGTTTCAAGGATGAAGGTGAAGTTACATATTCTATTTAACTACACACAGATTTTTGGTAACAGATAAAAATAAAAATTTTAAAAAGTTCTATTTATATCAGTGATAGTAATTCTATCAAAAGACTAAGAAAAAAACAATTGCAGGTCTTGGAAGTAAAAAAGCAACTTATGTGGATTTGTTTTTATCTTTGAGAAATGTACAATATTTTACCTACCTTAAAAAAACATTAGGAGTAAAGAATATAAAATTACATCTAATAAAAACAAAACTGAAATTTATCATGAATTTTGCTGTTGGTAATATCTCTTTGCAAAACTGACCGTAAGATGGGGTACAGGGAGAGAGGAAACAGGGACTAAATGGGTATAGAAGACCCACATCAAATAAAATGGGTCAGAAAGAATAGAGAGCCCCAGAGGCAAGAGAAGCCCACAGGACTCACATTCACAAACACACAAAATGAGAAACAAAGAGAAAGAGACAACCTCAAGGCCTTTCCAACCCAGATATCCAGCGATCAACAGAATGACCCACAAGAAGTAACACACAGAGTGATACACAGAGATAGAAAGGATACGGGAGAGCATATCATACAACAGCACACAATCTGATGAAAAGGCTGGCAGCCTACAGTGCTGCACACAGGTAAATATATAAATCAATGACAATTCATACTAGGACAAGATTAAGTAATTCATTTTAAAATTCACTCTTTTTAAAGGCCTATCAAACCTAATGGATTAAAATACTGTTTTTGATTTAGAAAATCTATGACAGTATCATCTTTTCAAAAATCAACTGTCTTCCTCCCTTTGTCTTCTCCCATTGTAAATTAACTCTTACCTGCCTCCTTCAAAGCGACTGATGAGATCTGATACCTTACTGGGTTTTTCTTTTGAGACACAAGAAGCAGAGGCAGGTTTAACTTCCTCCATCCTTTGTTTTGTACTAGGTAAAGCTTTATGCCTGGGGGTTTGGTGTATGTTGGACGAAGGTGAATTCTGCAGATGTAGTGGCTTTGGAGGCACTGTAGAAAAAGAATAGAATTCAGTATCTCACTGGTATTTTGTTCTTTAACAATGTAAATTCTGGTGTCCTGGGTGCAAAAATCTTCAGCATTATGAAACTATTATAAAGGGGACCTGTTAAATTTGAGCTGAACCTTAACCAAGGGGCCTTTATTTATCTTAGACATTTGCTCTGTGTCCCATGGAAATCCCGTCTCCA